ATTTGTATGTTCTTATGTAAATTGCAAAACATCACTCTCGCAACAAATGAAGAGACCATCCAAGTGTTCCTAGGACGCAACATCTGTCTATGTATTCGGAACTAAGGAAATTCTCTACCAAGTATTTGTAAGGAATCAAACTGGTCTTATGAGATCACCACTCACATAGTCATACTATGGTTTATTCCCCACTGTGTTTCGGAATGGTATGCTAAGCAAAATCTTTTGGCATTTATGCTTTAGTGCAATGTGTGGCCCAGAAGGACGTTCGCTTCATGTGTACCTTAAGCTCTCAAAACTGTCTAAAGTGTTGCTGGATGCTTGTAAACATTCATGGTTAACTGCAGTGCATTATATTCATGTTGTAACTATCCCAATTTCAGTTGAACTTGCCTCTAAATATATGTTAAAGGAACTAAGATTTAAATTAAACATAATTACAGGTGAACAGACTGGTTGTACTTGCTATTTCCAAATAAACAAAGTAACTCCTGTTAAGCCAGACAGTATCTAAACAACTCATGGTAGAAATAGAAAAAAGGAAGCAAAATCACTTCCAGAAATCTGCAACAAATTAGGGGAAAAAATCTCAAAGAAAGCTCCCTTAATCAAGACTTTACCATTTATAACTCAAAGAGTGTCAACATCCAGTGTTTTAAATAAGACTGGAGGGCAGATGTGGTGTATGTCCAACTATTTTAGCCTGAGCTGAAATGACACACTTTTTTCCCTATTCTTTTCACCAAACCTGTACCTCACTCCTTATTTATTGTATCTTTTTGCCCATATTTCCTTGAGAGAAGTGCATCCAAGTCAAGGATGAGATGCCATGTTACCAGATTGCAACAAGACACCCATGTGTTCCCCAATTCACTATATTTGAACAAATATGTTCAATGTCTTTGTCCATGAATATGTTATTTTTTAATGTGCCATTCTTATTTCCCATTTTAGCACATTGTGTTACTACTTTATTATGAATCTTTAAGGCCTATATAATGCCAAATAATATTATTTATGGAAATCGATGGCAACCATACACATTGCAGAAGAGCAACTAACTGCCACAGCTTCAAGACAATGAACTACAGCTCCTGTGGAGAGATTTTTTTACAGAGATGGAAATCAAAGGCATATGATAACTCAGCACTGTGAGGCTAGGAATTTGATTGAAGTAGACCATTCAGAAGTGTTAACACCCTATAATGAAATATAAACATGGCAAAAATTCAGCACAGTCCTAGTTGTATGTTGTTTAAAATGTGTTTCTACAATGTCTAGCTTTTCTTCTGTGATGATAAAAACAGCAAACAGAAATACATATGAAATTGTAATTAATTCATAAAAACAGTACACATGAAACACTGGGCCAGAGAAATAATGGTGTGATTGTAAAATATATTAAAGGCATGAGGGAAGCCTGAAGCCTGTTCTGCCTCTGACTTCTGGCCTTTTTTTCATTCATTATAATCTCATATTCAAGTTCCAAATCTAGACTTATTAAAAGGTGAATGGGGAAGAACAGGGCAGACAGAGAAAAATGTTAAGCTACCTCTACTGGAGCATTTGAATATTTAGTTTGTTCTCCATGTTATATATAGTTGCAAGCCTGGTGTAAAAATCCCAGAAGGCAGGTAGGAAATACTATCTCCATATTGCAGGCTGAGATTGAAGCGGAAAACCTCACAGAAAAGGCACAGTTAATCTGTTTCTTAAACATATCTACATAACATACATATTGCTATAGTGAGGAGGTATAAATAAGGTATACTTTATCAAATTTCCAGAAAGAATATTCTTCCAAGAATTGCAAGCCAAGTATTGAACAAATCTGAGAAGAGGCGCCCAGAGTCACCTTGTAGGGAAGACAGAGGGCATAAAAATTTAATCAATCAATCAATCAATCAATCAAATAAATAAATACAAAAATAAATAAATGGAAGAAAGAAAGGAAAGTCTATTTCCAATTTTCTATTGCTTCCTATTACTTTTCTGTGAAAATAACATTTTCACAAATGAGTGTTGGGTATTTTTGTCCGGGTGACAGCAGAACCCAAATGTTCATATCAAGCAGGATCCAGTCCTTCCCCTAAACCTCAAAAACAGCAGAGGGTCAAGTAATCTCACCAACAAGAATAGCAGAACAGGACTGTTACTTTCCTGAACTTCCTGATGTAAAGCGTGATCAGTCAGTCACAGCCTGAGTTTCAAGCAATTTTATTCTTTTTTTTTCATTTATTTTTAGGATGTATCCTGCCTTTCCACTAAGTTAACAAGAAACAGAAAGCATAATCATGGAAAATCTCATAGGAACACTTGAACACACATTAAACTATTGAAGCTGAAAAGACCTGTTGTCCTAGGAAGAATGCTTGGCCTTTTTAAAAAAAAAAAAAAGGCAGAAAGACTGAGGACTGAATATATGCTCTGAGGTAAGGAAGCACATTTCACCATTCCAGAGCAGCAAAAGAAGCTCTCCACCCCTTTGTTCCCAAAAATGGGAGCAGCTTTTAGAGCAGTATTTCTCAATCTTGTTAACTTTAAGATGTGTACTGGTTGGGGAATTCTGGGAGTTGAAGTCCACGCCTTTTAAAGATGCCAAGGTCGAGAAACATTGTTCTAGAGGATTTTGTGCTCAGGCACGTTCATATTGAGGCAAACAGCTCCTCAGATAGTCCCTCTACATTTTAGACCTTAAAACTCAAAGTAACACATTATGCTTTTATCCATGGAAAATCACTGGTAAATAAAGTCATGTGGGCCTTTCAGCAAAAGCTCAGTAAAGTGGATTCTTGCTTTAATCCTCTAGCTAATAGCTTTATCACAACATTTTGCATATAGAAAATGACTTTCTAACTCCAGAGCTGCATTTAATTCAGTACTGCCAGTGACACCTGCTACCCAAGATATTGGTGACCAAACCCAGAACCTTTCAAATATAAACGTTATTTCAAACACAGTTGAGATATGGACTCTTGCCACTTCAAGGTCCCTTCCTGCTTTTTAGTAACAAATGTATTTTTTGACTGGCCATGAAGAACTCATACACTCTCTCTCTCTCTCTCTCTCTCTCTCTCTCTCTCTCTCTCTCTCTCACACACACACACACACACACACACACACACACACACACACAGTTTAAAGGGCAAGCAGTGGGGGAAGAGCACTTTAAGTGTTTCTGGTTTTGAGCCAATTTGCCATCGCATTTGGGATAAGTCATAATTTGCTGCAGCCAGATCCTTGTATTTATGTTTCTGCATATTTGGAGACAAGCAGTGGCAATAACAAATAAAAGACTAAAATAACCCCTTTTGTTTGAGAGAGGTTGTCTTTATTCTTCCTGAGGGAAAGTTATTCAATCTTACCTATTCATATACCCAAAATATGTTAGCACAAAACAACAACAACCACAGGATTTTTATCTCTTCCTTAAAATGAAATATTAATGTTACTTTTGTCAAAGAAAATACAGGCATTCATCAGAAAATCTACTTCTTTAAAAAAATGATATTGATTTTTAAAAGATAACAGCTAAGGAATTAATCTAACTGTTAATTATACTTTATGTGAGTATTTACAAACAAACCTTCCAGGGTTTTATAATAAATTTGTTGGCAAAATTATGTGGTCAGCTAAATAATTCTACAAATATTTAATCATCTTTAGTACGGTCAAATCTTTCAGTTCATTAATCATTCGCTTTTCTGATTTTTGTAGTGACATTAGCTAAAAATACAGAAATGCAGCTGTTTTTGTTGAGTGTTTGCGAACACATATGCGTTTAATAATTACAACTCAGGTATTTCAGTTTTTCCTCATCTGTACTATAACCTTCCTTGCTGAGAAATGCCTTTCCCATAATTAACTGAAAATAGAATTAAAATAAGAGGTCTTATACATTACTTAAATGAACTGCATAGTTTCAAGCAAGGCGTTCTCCTCTGAAAGAGCCTTCAGTAATGTTTATTTGGAAGTTAGTGCATTCAGTAAGGGTCCCTCCCAACATTAATTAAAAAAAACTTATGGCATACAAGTTTAGCCAGTTTATTGTGCCCTACCGAGTATGATCAGGGATAATTGACAAGTAGCCTATTAACTACTCCTTGAATAAGTTCTCTTGATTGCCCTTAATCTCACTTCCTATTAAGAAGGTTTTTAATCACAGATCAACCTTTTCTTTTGCATTTTCATTTCCTTTTCATTTTGCACAGCAAATATAACACAATGTCATTATAGAAATTATAAAATAAGGGAACAAAAGCACAGTAAAGGGAACAACACACTTTGAGAAAATGGAAAAGAACACACAGCAACCAAATAATCCACCAACAACATAATTTGATTCTCCATAAAGGTAAGGGAACAAAGGATAAGAATTTGTACAAAAAGAAGTTCTCAGGAAAGCGGTTGTGGACTGTTCTCCAAAGCAAAGAAACAACTGAGAATGTGACAAATCAGAAAGAAAAGCTAAAAGAAGCAACCAGCGTTGGAGGGACCTCTGTGGCTTTTTTCAAATATCATGTATTTTTCTGGGAACTAGTACTAAAAGTGAGCATAGTTTTATTGAAGAAAGGTAGGCTATAAAGTAGGCTAAATATTAGTATGTCAAAGCGTACAAACAGACCTTTTATTCACTATTAAAAATATTTTACAAATTACAATAAGAATGTATCTCAAGGGTTGCTGAAAGTCAAGTGGCAAATAAATTTAATAAATTAATTAGGATTCAACTTTCTTTCAAAATCCATGTTCAGGCCACTGCTTGCAATGACAATAAAAACAAAGAACAACTAAAAAGCTGGTAAAAGTTTTTCTGCATGTAAACTCCACAGAAATTCTATAAGGCTCTTACTCTGGAGTATGAACTGGAAGGGACTTGCCCACCGTTCATCTTACAAAACATACAAAATCTGCATGATTGGAAATATGAAAAAGGTGATATTTCTGTAGCTACCGAACCTCACAGACTACCAAATCAAGGTAGAAAACTTCCATCCTACCTGGTTCAGTGCAATTTTTTCGATAGAGATGTTTTACTTCTTCTGGTTTATCAGTGACATTATCCTCAGTTTCTTGTAGTAGTCTTCTTCCCAGCCATTTGTCACTAGTCTCCAAATCAAAGTTCAGAGATTCGTAAACTACCAAGAAAGAAAGAACTAAGTCAGTATACTTGGATAAGCATTATATTTGAACCTTCATGGTTCTAGGTGTCACAATGAGGTCCAGCAAGGAAAAGGTCATGAAGAGAAAGGAATTAGATTTCCCAGTTGTATTCCTACAGTAATCTTACATTTCCTTGTCCTTAATCTCTGGGTCCTATCATTGCAAAGCAAAGTCCCCATTCCATGCATATTCATTAAGAGTTACATTGTGTCAGAAGTAAGTCTTCATCCTGGTTCATCCAAGCTGGGAATAAATAAGCAACATGGCGACTGCTTTGGGAAGAAGGTTACAGTTTATTGAAGAAGCAGAAAGATGGTCCTTGCAAGAAAAAACAGAGGAGAGGAAAGAGGAGTTGAGCACATGGGCAGTAGGTTTTTATACCCTCTCTAGCCTTGTTTGGAATAGTTTCCTGTTCCTGTGGCATGAACCTTGAGGCTATTTCTGAGTGTTTTTCTAGGCCTTAATATCTGTGGTTTAATCCTATTATCATATCCTGCTTCCCAGGTGATGGGGCTAATGACTCCTAAAGTTTGGGTGGGGCATGCAGATCTTCTCTTTGTCTTCTTGATTGCTCTGGCTTCAATTCTCTGATAGTTTTACATCTGCATTTGTATGGGGCTAGCTCTTGCTTGGGGCAGAGAGATAGATTTGGGACCAGGTTTGGTTTTAAAAAGTCCTTTTGAGGAAAAATATATTTTTCTGCCCTTTTAATATTTCCTTCTCTGGGCTAACTTCCCTCAATTGAAAATATAAACTGAAAGGAAAGAGCTGGGAGCTCTCAGGATATTATTTAGCACAATTACTAGCAACATTTATCCAATTTTGCAATGTTCTTAGTCATTGCATCAAACCAATCAACCACTGTTTCAGCTCAGGCAATGTCTCAAACCATGCTCCCATCTCAGGTGATTCGAGATTTGACCAGATTTGACTCCCTAGGCAGTGCTGCTGAGTATGATGGCAAAGGAACTCAACACATCTAAAGGCAACAAATAGGGGATGTTAGCAACCTGAGCTTAATTAGAGGAAGTATTCCACCTCCCAGATAAGGTAGCTACTGGTACTTGTAACACTGCCTACTTTACAAGGTTGGGGAGGAAAGGAAATTGAGAACACTTATGTCAATGAAACCAGAAAGTGTTTTGTGTTGCAGGAAACACACACACACACACACACACACACACACACGTGTGTGGCCAAGAAAAACAAGACAAGTAATTAAACAAGTTGCCAGAATTAAAATGAGTAAGAAATGTGGAGAAAGCAACCCTCTTTTGAAATTAACCAGACCAGCCTAACACTGTTTCTTCTAACTCTCAATATCTTGCCAGGCTTCAATTTTAGTTCTACCACCAGGAAACACCAAAGCTGGAACTTTAAGCCTTCTGTATACAAAGCAGGTGCTTTGTTATTCCAGCAGCATGGTTCTTTCTCATAAAAAGCACATGGGGATCACTTTGCTGTTACTATTAAGTGAGCTTGGAAACGCAAGTATTTAAACAAAATAGCCAGAAAAACAGATAAAAGCCAAGGGCATTAGAAGGCTTCCAGAGGCAAGAGATTTTTTTGGAAGCACAAATGTTGGATAAACTAGCCAAAACATTTTTATGCTCTTTTCACAAATGTTTGTGAAATAAAAGTAGTTTTTTATGTACATGAGAGGTAACTAACTAGATATGTATTATTATTGATATATTGTCCTCCTTTCCTATTTTACGGGAGACAATAGTGAGCAAAACTCTGATTTTTCCATTTCAATTCAAACACGTGGCACCTGTCCAAGATATATTATTATTACATTTTTGGCAAATGCTACTTAATCCTGGAAACTTGCATGCTGCTCTGATTAAGCATGGAGTACATGTTCATGTGCCAGTAACATTTGGCAGGCTACAGCAGCGTGGTGCTCATTATATGCTCTGCAGTCTCAGTCTGAACCCCTTTCAAGAGTTAGCAGAGCTTTTATGCCAGGTTTCCATTACAAGTTTCACTCTTTCTTGCCTCGAGTTAAATGTATTATAGTTCTTTCTTTCCCATATATCTTTTTTTTTAATTCAGTTTTCCCATACAGACACCAGGGAAAAAGCAGAATTAGTGCCAAAATTGTTGGATAGGTGTAGCAAGACATGTTCTGCTGCCTTATACAAATAAAAAGTTAAAATTAATTCATGTTGAACCCCAGGTTACTTCATATATAAATCCTTGGAAAAAAGAAAAAAGAGACAAAAAACAAAGTGTTTTAAAGCAAAGCATATGGAATAATTTTAATCAATCTTCTCAACAGCCAGTTAATAATAATCTTTAATCACATTCTGATCTTTAAACCATACAATCCTTCCCAAAAGGATGTCAACAAAATTATTGATATTAAACTAAAATGAAACAATAGTGTAACAAGACTATACTGTATTATACAATAAGTTTCTCATTACACTTTTTATACTTTCTGTGTGGTATCCAATAAGCATGAAAAAAATGTTAAATTACTCTCATTTATTAAATATTGACTATTATTTAAACCTCAAAGTATTGATTTCTTACTATGCAATGCCATGGTAATGCAAGTCTTTATTTCAAAATTCAAAATAACTGAAAATCATCCTTAACAATAAAAAAATGTTCTTGATTTGCAATCTTCCAAAACATGCTTCAATGTATATAAATTAAGGTTTAGATGTATTTCTCTTAGTACATTGTCTGATTCTTTTTTATGTGTTAGATAGCTGTTAAGAATTTAGGAATGGAGTACACATACACACATACCTTAGTCTTATTCAGTTTTTTATTGTTAATTAATTCTGCATTTAAAAGACATTAGTTACATCAATTTCAATTCAATTTATGTGATCAAAGACCAGCACAGATAATCAACAAATAAAATTTAAAACACAATTAAAATACATTTGTAAAATAACCTAACTAATGTCTATAAAATCCAAGATGTAGCCTATATTAAATTATAATTAAAGATTAAAATTATATAGTGTGGTATCTAAAATTACAGCAAAGTAAAGGTAATATCTGAGAAATGTTAATATCTAAAAGTTAGATGAATTATAGTTGCAAGAAATTCATTGCAGGACATTGGCACATCAGAATTTGACGGATTTTCTCTGCTGCTGTGCAAAACCTAGCCACATGTGCTGTGCTTTGGGGTACTTGTGAACAAGGGATACTTTGTCTATAAGCAACATTTAGGCATAAGTCAGAATATCTACTGTTCAGAGGAAGTATGAACCTGTCTCCGTACAGGAGCAACAAAGAAGAACGTGTTCTGAAGTTTTCACCTCTCTGGAATCACAGGCAAAGACTTTCAAATATTCAATGGAACTTTTTTTGTTTTTTAAAAAAAAGGTATTTATCATCCAATACAGCAGAAGGGAGATCATGTCATTGGGCTCCTTTCCAGAGAGGTAAACCCAAAGCTGGGGGCCCAACCGAAGTCCCCTAAAGGAGCTGGGCTAGAGGCTCAGCCTTAAAGAGTTTAAGTGCAGCTGAAGCGGAAAAAATTAAGGATGGCATTGGCAGATATTTGTTCAGTAGCAGCAGCATATTCACAGTGGACTTCCCTCCAGCTAATGGCATGTATGACTACTCCTAAATGCAGGTAGTCCTTGACTTACAACCATTCATTTAGGGACTGAAGTTACAACGGCACTGAAAAAAGTGACTTATGACCATTTTTCATACTTACAACCATTCCAGCATCCCCATGGTCTCATGATCAAAATTCAGATGCTGGGCAACCCTAACTCTAATCCTAACCCTTTTTAAAGATTGGGATTATAATTGCCAGGCCCCCGTCTTTGAGGCTGTATCTTATGGTGTCAATATAGGTGGAAAGTGATTCCAAGATTGGAGCCCGCTATTCTGTCATTCTTCAGTAGTGCTGGGAGAATAGGGTGAGGGCCAGAGGCCTTCCCCTTTTGAGTTGGCTGATTAGGGACTTAATTTCAGATACAGATATTGGGAGCCACTCAGGTAAATCAAAGCGCAAAACTACTGTAAATGGCAATGACCTAATTATAGTGTTTGCTTACTTTCAACCTCTGAACATTTTAGATACCTTTATGTCTCAACAGAGTTGCTATTTTCCCTAATAAAGATTGTCCTTAGGTTACAACTCTTTGTTCTGGACAGTTCAAAATTACAATGGTATTGAATGAATGGCACTGATAACTGGTTCTCAGAGTTCCTGCCATCACAGCAAGCTGTAGTCATGTGATTGTGATTTCCACGTTTCCTGTCATTTCCCCACAAGCAAAGTGAATGGGAAATCAGAAGCTGCAATCATGTCAGTCCCTTGCTTTATGACCTGTACAGACATTGCTTTATGATACCAACTAAGACTACTGGAATTGCCACTGTTAAGCAATGCAGTCACATGACATCAAACTTTACAATGCTGGCAATTCCAGTCATGGTAACCCAAGGACTGCCTGTAGCAAATTCACATGGCTGGCAGACAATCTGGAAATGAGCAGAACCACCTCAAACACTTCCATGTATTCCAGAGACTATAAGATATTTAAAGGAATGTAAATTATCAAAAATGAATGAAATCATTTTATACACCTTCCAAACAGCTTCTAAGAATAGATAGAGTAATATATGTGTTAATTGGGAAAGGAAGGGAGCTGGATAGTGGTGAGAAGAGAGATAAGATTAATTTGAGTGTTAAATTGATTATATTTGCTGAGTAATGGTATTTAATAGCTACCAATTAGTATTTGGCAACTCATAATCTATGAGATGTTAACAGTACAAAGCAAGATTCCCTGAAGTATCAAAACTGTACAACTCAAGCCAGCTTCCCCCCCCACACACACACACACACTTCTGCCACCCCACACTCCCTATTTCTCTGCTCTGCTGAGAAGGGAAAAGGGCAAGATGCAAGAGAAAGAAGAAAGGGGTGGGATGGGTTTGGGCATATTTTGTGTGGAACATGGAGAACAGCATGTAGGAAGGAGAA